CAGCAGATTTGGCCGTATAGACTTATTCTTATTGTCCTCCAAAGGCCCTTAGAAACTCTGCCTCCCTCACTGAGAGCTATTGTTCCCTATTTGTCTATTGTTGCAGCAATGAATTTTCTGAGCCAGGGAAATACTGTATACTGTAGTCCCCACTTTCAGACATATCTGTGATGTTCAAGCAAGCATTCCAGATCATTGAGTACAGAGATACATTTAGAGTGTTATCAATATTCCAGAATCCAGGTTCTTGGCAAGACTTTCTAGCAGTGTTATAAAGCAGGTTTCATCATGGAATGTTAAAGAGAAAATAACTGGAAATAAGGAAATAAAGGAAAATACAAATGCATGACATTCATGACATTAAAGAAAAGTACGTTAAGATTGACAAGCTTACCAGAAAAAAACACTCCATATATAATAATGTTAGCCTTTAAGGTGCCACAGGATTTATACCATGATAGAATCCTAATCGGATCATTGAATCCAGTCCTCTGCTCAGTCCAGGGATCCTCATTAAAGGTGGTTGTCTAGATGGTTGTCTCACTTGCACTTGAACACCTCCAGTGAAGGGCAGACCCCACACCTCTACTGATCTTCTCTTACTGTCAGGAAGGTTTTTTTTCTGACATTCATTCAGAATCTGCCTTCTATAATTTAAATCCATTATTCTATGTTCTGAAACCTGGAATAATAGAAATCAGGTCTTAACTTTCTTCAGCATGACAACATGCTAACATAGCCTGCCCCCTCGCCTAACCCAGTCCTCTCTTTTCAGGGTTAAATGTATCTTATCTAGTTCCTTCTGTCTTTCTTTATGGGGCTTACCTTCTTTTCCTCTAGTCATCCTTGTTGCATTTCTCTAAACCAGTTCTGAGCACTCCTTGAACAGCGTATGTTACACCTCTGCTTCACAAACTGCATTGGTTGCCAGTATGCTTCTGGCTTTAATTCAAAGTGCTGCTTGTTACCTATAAAGCCATTCATGGCTTGGGGCTGGGTAATTGAGGGACTGCCTCTCCCTGATTTTGTCTATCCTTCCCACTAGGCCTGCCAGAAGAGGCATGCTCCAGGTCCCATCTATTGGGGGGACCCAGGAAGAGGCTTTTCTGTCATGGTGCCCACCCTTTTGAACATCATCCCATGTAATGATCTGTGGGAATGACCTTGGAGATGGGGAAGAGCCGCAGCCAGGGCAATGGTCAGATAAGCAGCAGCTTAGCCTGCATCAGAAATGTGGGCATGGCAAACATCTCAGAAGGAACCTCCCTAGTTTCTTGGGCTGTAAAGGTGACAGGGGAGAAATGTACTTTCAGACTTGCAAAATTCTCTTAAAGTAACCTTGTAATAAATTAGAGCTAGTACTTCTGGGTGTGCTTCTTGTCTGGACTACCTCACAAGGCTGACACCCTGACTCTGCTGGATTTCTGTAAGGCCTTAAAGACATGGTTGTGTCACGGAGCTTGGGGATCCAATGTGCAGCAAAATCTATATAATGGCTGTGTTGACTTGTTTGCCAATGGTTTTGTGTTTACCTTGGCTGTCAAATATGTACATTATTTCTATTGTTACATGTTGTTCTATGGTGCTTGTAACTGCTGCTAGCTGCCTAGAATCATGAATTTAAGATAGCCATATAAATTGAATTGACTAATTATGTCATCTGCAGTTATGCTAAGTGTTCTATCCATCTCCTCATCCCAGTTATTAGAAAAAATGTTGACATATATAGAGCCCCCGACTTAAACCTGTGGCATCCCTCTCAATACTTGCCAGTTTGATGAGGAACAAATAAGGAGTATCTTTGGGTATGATTTTCATGCCAGTTATATATCCAATTAATTGTCATGCCACCCACCCCATACTTAACTGACTTCCTAATCAAAATATTGTATGTTACTGTTAAATGCTTTGCTGAAATTAAGATATACTGCATCTATTGCATTCCCACAATCTATTAAGGAAATTACCTGATCAAAAAAATAAAGTAAGATTAACCTGGCAAGACTTGGTCTTGCAAATCCATGCCAACTCCTTGTCATAATCATATTGTTTTCAAGGTGAATATTTATCACAATTATATCCCGCTGCAATCCTTGAAAGATTCTTGGCAATTTGTTGTTAAAGGATTATCAGAAGTTAAAAAAAAGCAAAACCAATGAAAAAGCTTGTTTGGATACTATCTAAAGAAAGCTGGAATATGACGTATTGGATGGTTGAATGGCATTCAACAATACAATTTAAGAGTTCTTTTATATTAAACATATAATTTGTAAATGTGGCTAAAAATCTTAAATATACTCGTACAAATATGCCATAACATGGATCAGATATCCATTCATGAGTTATGGATAAACCTTGTTTTACTTGAACAGTAGTTACAAGAATTCACTGTTCACATGAGCAACATGAGATGGGTATTTGAGATGTTTCCAGGCAAATCACATGTGCTGTCAGTGCAAGCGCATTGCTCGGAGAGGGAAGGGGAGGGAAGGGGAGGGAAGGGGAGGAGAAGGAGAGGGGAGGGGAGGAAAAGGAGAGGGGAGGGGAGGGAAGGAGGAG